TTTAAAAAAAAAAAAAAAAAAGAAGTTAGATTATTGTAACTAATCCAAAATTTAGTTAGAATAACATTAAAACCCCTTAAATCAATTTAAAATAAAATAATATAAAAAATAATTAATTATTTATATATTATATTTATCTCAAAATAAATTTAATAATTTAAAAAAATTTAATTAATTTTTTTGTAGATTATTATCATTTACATTTTTTTCAATGATAAATAATAATAATGTAATCATGCAATATATATGAAATTTTTTTTATTGGGGGGCGATTAGTGTCAACACCCAAACATACACATACAAAACATACACGGGACTCGAACCCATTACCTCTTAGTTGGGAGCAAAACTCCCAACCAAAAAATCACGAAGAGTTGTATTTTCACCTCCCTTTCACTAGAGATTATTATCTCGCAATCCATACCAAGCTATAAAACATTGAAAAGAGTCGAACCAAACCGAGTTCAATCGACATAATTTACTTTAGAGATAGAAAATTTTGTTCGGTGGGAGCTTTGACTCTCATGGTAGAGATCGTATATTAGAGATATTGTGTACTTAAAAGTGTGTATGAGTTTATAATTAAGGCTTGATTTGAGACAACTTTCTTACTGCTTTCTAAAGCAGCTTTTTATTACAAAATATTTTTTGAATAGAAATTTTTGTACTAAAAAGCTGTAAGAAAATTATCCCGAACGAAACCTAAATTAGCTCAAAGTATGTTTTTTATTTCAACTTGAGTTAAAAGTTTGAGTCTAGCAGCATTGCTCAATGTCAGGCAAAATTTCAAGCTAAATCGAGTAAAGTCTACTAAATTTATAAAATATGTATTTATAATTACTATCATGATTATTATTTATATTAATTATTCAAAAAATATTTATAAGATATATTATAAAACAAGTAAATATACATGCAGAAATGAGTATTTATATTACTTTTATGTGTTAGGTAATTATAAATATACCTGTATATGTCTGTATCAAACATATATTGAGATGATTTTAAGGCTATGTTTGATACGGCTTTTTCATTACTTTCTAAAGCAGCTTTGTAGTACAAAAATTTTGAGTTTAAAAAATTTTTGTACTAAAAACTACTTTAGAAAGCAAGAGAAAAGTTGCCCCAAATGAAGCCTAAATTAATTAATTTAGAAATATTACATGCAAATAAAGACATAAAATGAAATAAGAAATGATAAGAATTTGACCCATGTGTTATATATAACTACCGCAAAATATATTTGCACTTTCTATTTGTGCAGGAAGATACCCCATAATCTTTTAATGATACTAAGGCATTGATATGTCACCCAATATCATCTTGAACGTGCACAAATATCGAGACATATTCAAGTTTAAAACTTCTTAAATTAAATTCGGGACCATATGAACTCCAATTTTAACAAACTTATAGTCAATCTGACCGTCTCAAAAAGACAAACCCAATGACACCAAAATCGGTCAAGTCTGGGCCCAAATTGGTCCGAATTAAGAGGCTGAAGTGTTTTCGGAAGGTTCAAAGCATTATTTGGATGACAAAATAATATCAAAATATGGCATGCTTATAGTTGATCGAGCGGCTCGACAAGATGAATCCAATTAACCCAAGATAGCTAAATTCTCACATCATTAAGGCACTTAAACATTTAAAAAAAAAACTGTATGATCAGGGAATCAATACGTGCCATTGAATGGAGCATTCCGAACCTGCACCGTATCTTCTATATATTTACGGGGTGTTCCACTCAAGAAAATCTATAAATAGACCCTCACTCTCTACATGGAGGGGAGTCTTTTGCTATAGATTGGAGAGAGCTCGAGGCCACTGATTATGATCCCTCCGACCACTATCACTCCCCAACTACGGTCCCTCAGATGGTCCATCTGACCAACATTGCCCGCCGACTACGGTCCTTCTGACATCTGTCGCCTACCGATTATGGTCCCTCCGACCTGCGTTGCTTGCCAACTACGGTCCCTCCAACCACCATCACCTACAGCTATGGTCCCTCAAACCTCTTTCACCCGCCAACTACGGTCCCTCTGACCTCTGTCTCCTATCGACTACGATCCATCTGACCATCGTTGCTCGCTTACTATGGTCCCTCCGACCATCGTCGCTCATCAACTATAGTCCCTCTGATCTCCATTGCACAAATACATCCCTGCCAACCAAATGATCAAGACAATGTTCTCTTAAGAATGACCCCCTTATCATTAGATTTCATCTAACCCCAAATATGTAAGTGGTTTATATGGTACATTGAGCCAATGCCTTCCCCCCGTGAAATGGAACCATTTTAATCAACTACAAACATTAGTGAAATTATTTTAACTTGGCCAAGCTCCGTGTTTTTTCCCCTTTTTAGAGTTTTCCATGTAAAAATCTTGGTGTCTCTTATGACTCTTACTCCCCCTCCCTTTTTATCTATTTATGTGGTGGATCTTCATATAAAGCTAAGATGCTAAACTCCCCATTCACTAGTTGTGGAGATATCAACACTTCAAAGCTCATGGCCTTGTGTCCAATGGGAGATTGATATAATGGGGCCCTTTCTTATGATTGTCGAACAACGAAAGTTAATCCTCTTGGCAGTGGACTATTTCACTAAATGGCTAGAGGCTGAACTTATGGAAAAAATCATGAAGTAAATGCCAAACAATTTATTTTAAAAAAATATAATTTATCATTTTGGCCTTTTGGCAAAGATCATTATCCATAATGAAACTTAGTTTACTGAAAAAACCTTTACAACATTCTGCAAGGATCTCCATATCCAATTGGTACGCACAATCATGACCAATCCTCAAACAAATGGGCATACTGAGGTCATGAACTAAACTATACTGAAGGGATTGAAGTAGAGCCTCGGGCTAGGGGGTAATGGGCTGATGAACTCCATAATGTCCTTTGTGTAATAACCTGTATTTTGATTTTGCTAATTTTTTCTAGTTAATATAACTCCAAATTATAATCCATCTTCACCATAGTGTTTTAATATTTTACTAACATAATTTTTTTATGTCGATAAAAATCCTTAAGAAATTGATACCTATTGGTACAAATGAGGATTTCGAAACTGTTAGGTGTCCGTTTTGCAAATTAATTTTATTGATATTTTGTAAATAACATGTTTTCTTTTATGAATATTTTTGTATAATTTTTGAAGTCATAAAATGATTTATTATAGTTTTTTATTAAAAGAAATTGATTAAATTAATCATATAATATTAAATTATTATTTTATCATAAAAATATCTAATGTCACTAAAGCTTTTAAAAAGAAAAAAAAACTTTCTCCCTTCTCATTTCCCGTAATATAGAGTTGGCATGAGAGGTTTTGTGAGAGAAAGTTAGGAGAGAAATTAAAAGTTCAAATTTTGAGGTTGCGATGTGATTTTTATCTGT